TTCTGGTAGCTTGCATTATCTGTGGTCTGGGAATTTTTGTTCATTCAGAGCCACACATAAGTAATGAAATGTAACCTTTAGATTATAGATATTAGTGTTTATTTAAATTCAAGCTGTTTCTGTTGATTTTGTTTTATGTCTGTATGTGCCATGAATAATATCTCTAAGAGTAGTTCCAGGAAAATATTCACCCTCACCAAACATGATCATCCAAAGTAATAAAGAGCTAGGCTGCTGTTAGAAGTTGCAGTTTGTACATAAGGCATCCATGGTTTCAGAATGTTGTGGAAAAGATAATTTATTATTAGGTCATTCATATGCTTAGATTTTAAAATTGAAATGTGTAAGATAAAGTAGAACCTTGCATGTACCTTTTGGAAACCTACTATACTTCTCCCATAGTAGACTTCTTGAACTATGTTCATTGGCTGGATGTTAGGCATAGTTTTTCTCAGATAACATCGTGTTCCTAGCTGTTCTTATCCCCTGTCCAGGAATACATGTCACTAGATTAGTTTATTCACTTGAAGATAGTCACACAAACTCTACTACAGCAGAAGTTCCATCCCAGTGCCAAGAAATACCTTTCTTCTCCAACGGAAATCATAAATGCAAAAGGAATATTATATCCCATGTAGTATAGGATAGGGTTGAAAGCTTTAATTCAACACATTAAGTTTACAGTATTTACTCTAGCATCAGTTTCTTCACCATCTGCTAAACTGGCTGTCAATTGAAAGTTTCATTGTTTCATACTGGGCTATAACCTCTACTCAGAATTTTCTCAGTCAGTCATTACTAAGATTTTTCCAGTTTTGATTCTGTAACACCAGTATTTAGCAGCAGGTAATGACCTAACTAAGAAAATGAATTATAATAATATATTCATGTTGACTTGGGAAGCACCTCCTCTACAAGTAAATTATGACTATCACTGCATTTCTTTCTTTCCATCACTCCAAAATTAAGAAAGAAAAATCCACAGAGATAACAATTGAGGCAATAGAATAGAGGAGACCATAAATTCCATTGTGACTAGAGCAAATCTGCCTTACAAGATGTCTGAGACCATGTGCACTGTGATATCGCACATGCAGTCAACTCCAAACACCACAATAAAGATATTCTGAGTCTCATTGGGAACGAGACATCTTGTAGAAATTGTCGTATAGCATCCCAGATGGCATCTTTCTTGCAGGCATCACTTGAATGTGCTTCTTTATTGCCTTGGACAAGAAGGAACCAAGTCTTGCTATCCCTGTATTGCTGAAGAGAGTTTTGCGTCACTTCTTCCATGCAGGAATAGGTGCATCTTTTTTGATTGTGGTATCACAGAAGGATTGTCATGGGATTCATGTTCTCTGAAATCACAGGAAAGCACAGTGGAATGTAAATGTGTTGGAGGTGAGACCAGTTCTCGCAATCTGCACTACATTTTTCAGTATCAGGACCAGCATAAGCAAAGTAGGCACTGCCTGCAGCAGTACATCGATGGGGCTGGCACTGAATCAGTCTTCAGCAAAATGAAGAGACACCCTTCTGGTCTCACAGCAACAGCAGCTGCTCCAAGTCCCACTTGTACTGGCTCAGGAAAAAATATCAGAGCAGCACCCCTGTTTGACCAGTCTCCTTGACTGGCTCAGGACAAGGAGATCAAGTGAGCTGCAAGTTCCGGTAACAGCCTACTTGACCCTAATGTTTGCATTCCTGGCTCTGCTGCTCTGTGCGTTCTTTTGCCTTTGCCTCGCTCCTACCTTTGGCAGAAGAAGGAGGGGAAAAAGATCTTGTAGATAAGAGGATACTCTAGCAATGAGAAGAGAGTCAGGGATACAGAGCTGCATTATGTCTCCTGCTCCTCCTTATTTTCTCTCTCCTTGGTGAGCAATGTTATGTCGCGTTGATGGGCTCAGACATGTAGTTGTTAATGGAAGAGTTGGAGGAGCACAAACAGCAGGACCAACAATGCTATAATCATTAGTGCTGGGTCCGTGCGGTTCAGTTAGACACAGCACCAAGAGGTACGTGAGGATGTGTGCCCGTGGAGCCACTCAAAAGCTGAATTTTGCCTACAGGGTTAATAGGCATTGAGCCAAACACTTCTCATATAGTCACTGGCAGCATAATTTCCGTGCTGTTTATAGTAAGATAAGGAAGAAGTATTTTAACCATGAAAATGGTGTATCAATTATTGGCTATGCCTTATTATGGGCAAAACATTTTTGTAGGGGGACACTTGATACAGAGACATTACTGTGTGTGCATGAATGGAAAATATTGGACTCAGTCATGTGTAATCCTTTCAAAGAGTGGAATTACTTTCACTGGATTTCTTTCCGGTTTCAATTTTTTCTGCTTATTGGGGAAAGTAAAAGACAAAATCAGGAATCTTCAAAAGAATTCATGATTTCTCCATCAAATACAAAAATTTAGCAAGAAGATTTTAACTCTCATCTATTTTAGGATAATTCTATTGTCAGTTTGTTCTCTGAAGAACAAAGCCTAGCCTTTCAAATTTGCTAACCCAAGGGAAATTCACTATATTTCATCTCACCATAGCCTACCTCCCTCCTTGCATCATAGCTATTGACTGGGTGCAACCCTGAAAGGATTATGCTCCATCAGTGTACAAGCATATTGATTCACAGCAAAAAAACCTCTGATAAGTAGGGAAGGTTTACAGATAGGTGAGAACAAATTCATTTGTATCTCTGTGAGACCTAGATTCCAATCATTTTCGAAGATCTACTTTCTCTGAGAAGAACTGAATTATCCGTTAATCTAGTTGAAACAATAGTCTTATCAAAAATATGTACTCTGTAGAGTGTGAATATACACAATATTAATATTATTTTCTTATGAGAATTCCTAAAAGTTTATTCGGCTGTTACAGATTGACCCTCTTTTGGTAGCCTTCAGGATTTTTCTGAGATGCCTAATGGGCTTTTCTTACTTCATGTACTGATGTACTCAGATTAATAAGAACTGTATTAATCTAAGATCTCACAACAGTGTGCAGTTTTCCAACCTCATAAAATATTTTCTGTAGCTCACCTAAAATTATTCTACAAAATCATTATGTGCTTCAGTTTGAATCAAATGTTCAACTACTTACAACTCTTCCCAAACTTTGTCTCCAGATAACAGAGTATGTTCATCTTTTCTGAAAACAAAAACAAAAAATAGTAAAATACTCTTTTGATTTCTTTTTCACCAAGCAGCAAGATCAGAGAATAAAAGGTCATTCATTTTTAGTCCAAGGACTAGCTGAGTAGCTTTCAGGTTGTAGTAGAAAGTCTTATTGTTAATTTAAAACATCTAGCTCAGTTTTGAGTCCGTATTGCTAGTGCTCAGGAAGCTTCTGCATGTCCCTTGAACAGAGTTGTTGTTATAAAGTGGCCATTTGAATGTAGGTTTGTATTTTTTATGAAATAGTTTTCCATCACAATATCATCAATCCCAAATTATACCTTTTGACAGATATCTACAATTTCCTTATGACTTTGGAGCTGGTCATTGCTTGAGATTCACAGTGGACCAGAAAAACAAAGAAGAGTAATAATGTATTCAATAACTGAAGTTCTACTGGAGTTCTGTTATCTGCCATTTTTGTTACTAAGTCCCATAACTTTTGATCCTGTTGTGAAAAGGAAGTTTAGCAAACATTCCTCTCTGAACAAAGGTACAAAACGTTTCCATCTTGAGAGAATCAGAATATTGATGGAAAATATATCTTGAGATGTTTAGTTACTTTTGCAGGAAAGGAATTTTCCCTTTAATTTATCCTTTAATTTCCCTAATTTATCATCTTCTATTTAATTTTTCTTGCTATTACAGTCGAGAAAGTACACATCCTCTCTACAAGTCATGAAAATCTTCTCTGTCTATCTGCTATCATTCATATTTTTGTAACGAAAGGATATAAACTTAAAATTTTATTTAGTAAAAATAATTATTCATTTGAAATGGTGACCTTTTCAAGTTGAATTATTTCACATGTAGGCATGAAGGTTTCCTTGTGTCTTATAATATTTTACGGTTGAAGAAATCATGCAGATAATCTAATTACTTGGACTAAAATTGTTGTGCAGTTTATATCTTTTGCAGTACTACAGGAAAGGAACTGTAAAATGTATTCATTATTGATTCATTAAAGGGTTTTACTATTACATAAGCAGAAATACAGACCACTACAAATGCTGTATTAAAAGGGGAAAAGGGAATGCACAGTAAACCATGCCATAGGCTACGGCTTATGTTTTGCATTTTCTAATGTCTTGTGAAACGTAAAAATCTACAACAAACAGATATGTAAAGCGTAACTGGTATGAAGATTCTATTCAGATTCAAGTGCTCTAGGTTGCTTTTGAATCTTGCTATTTTCTGCATTTGTTTTGACTGCTCTCATCATTCAAGATTGACGCTTGGATGGGTGTGTAGGAGGAAGCAGCAGCAGCAGGCTTACAGCTTGCAGACAAAAAAAAAATCTGCCTTATCTGATGGCTATTATTGAAAATGCGAGGTGTAGCCTAGGCTGGGTAATGAAGGGGAGCGAGCGAGGGGGAGCGAGGAGCATGGAGCTGCATACTGATGAGTGTAGGAGTACTTGATAAAAAGAATTCTTGCTGCTGGCAGTGCATTGCTCATTGTGGAGTATTCCAACAATCACATATAACGGAGAACAGCTTAGCTGACAGCTTGATATGGAGGTTTTTGTTTTTTTTTTTCCTGCTGTATGACGTACTGGTCTGTAGTAAAGATTAATAACTAAGAAATGTAGAGCTAGGATCAGATCTTATGCTGTATACTGCCCTGTAAACTATGTTTTACATCTGACTTTTCTGCTTGCTGAAAACATTAATCTGTCAAGCTGGCGGGCTCGTTTGATACCAACTTTCCCAGGAACACGATGTGGCAATGCCACCTCTCAGCCCAGGACTACCGCTATTATCCAGTGGATGGTTATTCGTTGCTTAAACGCCTCCCTCTTCACCCTCCTACAGGACCCCGATGCCCTGTCCAGACAGTGGGACAATGGTTGGAAAATATTGGGCTACCTCAGTATGAAAACCACTTGCTGGCTAATGGATTTGACAATGTGCAATTTATGGTAAGAAATCTTCTGTGCATAGCTGTGTATATACACTGTAGCTGCCTTTTTTTTTTTTTTGTCTGTCTCTTCTGTGATCATAAAAACCTTAGAGCTATTCTGCATTGCACTAAGAAGATCTGTTAGTGTTTCACCTTTCTATGTCTAGCTAAATTAATATATAAACTGTCCTAGGATAAACTTCCAAATTATACATGTTGGAAAATATTCCAGCCAGGAATATGGTAAAAGAAAAACTAAATATAAAGGTTCTTCCCCCCCCCCCCCATCAATCTTCAGGTTAAAAAAGAAAAAATGCATAATTCTTTTAATCCATACTCAGCAGGAGACAGTTTTACAACATGCAAAAGCTGTACACACCCCTATCTGCAATATATCACGTTATTACTTTTAATTATTATTACGATGATGTTAATGTTTAAACAAATAACATGCAATACCATTCTTGTGGCGAGACATATTTTAATTACAGATAATAATTTAATAAAATATGCTATCTCTGTAAGTGGTTCTGGATGTCTCGGTTAAATGTTTCTGCATCTTAAATAATCAGGCAGTGGGATTCACTTGTTGAAACTTGTGCCCTGTTTGGAGAAGTAAAACATTCCTTTAAATAGTTCAATTTTCCTATTTTAACTCTAGATATTTATGAGGAATACGTGAATGAAGTAAAACTTTATGTACTTCAGAATTTATAGTATATCCATGAGGTATAAAGTGAGATAGACCTGACATATGCAAACTTTGTATTGAAATGAATATTGACAGTAAAGAGAGAAGTAAGACTGTTATATAATCACTCTTCTATCTACTTCAGTATTCCCATTACTTGTACCTCTTGCAAAAATCCTGACCACATTTCTTATAAAGTACCAGATCTTAAAATACTATTAATCACCCCTTGTTTAAGATATTTTTAGTATCCATGTATATCTTGGAACAGTTCTAACTTTTCATAACTTACACCTGGCATGTAAGAAACAGAAATGGAACTTAGCATGTATATTATGACTACAAAACCATCATTTGAGTTCTGGTTTTCCTATTTCATTTATTTTGCCAACATCATTACACCCTTATGGGTTACTGATCAGAAAATTAAGGGCTAAATTTATGTCATTTCCACACCAGAATAGTGTAGAGGTTTCTTCCTGTTTTTACATTGCTGCCATGTGATCTTTTGCTTATATCAATAAAAATCATTAGAATCTTTTCCTTTAAATATTCTTGAAAAACAGACAAAGCTGCACGTGTGTGCTGTCAGCCCAGCAATCCAATAAAATGCTCTAAAAGGCATTTTAAGGCACAGTTTCCTACAATGCAACTACAAATTCATATATATACATAAAAATATAAAAAAAATTGTAGCATTGGTTACATAAGTGGTTGATCATTTAACCATAAAGAGATTAGAGAAGGAAATTGTTCACAAGAGGCTGTAGGTGGCATAACAAATGAGGAGAGCACACTTAGCCCAGGTAAATGATGAGCACCCTAGGAGCTAAAGAAACTGCCTTGGAAGGCTTTCCAAACGTTCACTAGCTGTAGAGGGGCCTGATCCACATTCTGCTAGAGTTTATGTAAGACTTTCATTTCCTGAATCTCTTGCTGACATACTTACATAAACATACAAATGCTATATGAGAGTCTACTACCAAATACTCAAATCAAACTTTTCAGGTATCAGGCAGATTAAGTTATGCTTGGATACTTGTGTGAGAGCTAATGTTCTCTAGTCATCTTGATCTAATCCTTTTCTGAAGCACTTCCTTCTTAAATATATTTATCACAGGTGAAATACACAAAGACTTGTATACATACAAGTGAATGGAAGATTAGACCCTTAAATCCAATGATTAAGCAAAAAGCTGTAAAATCATCTGGTAATAGTCCTAGTAATTTAATACTTATTAACTTGTTTCACATAGTTTATCATATTGTTACGTATTTCAGTTTATTGTTTGCATTAGAAACTGAGTCTTTCCAGTATTTTACTGGAAGTAAAAAAGAGTAGAAAATACCGATTTCTTTATATATTATTCTTCTGCATATAGTAGCATTAGATAATGTAAGCCTCTCCTGAAATATTTAAAAGTGCTTGTTAAAATATTTCACATTTTAGCCAAAGTGTGAAAGAGAACATTAAATTTGTAAAGTATGTAGGGAAATTAGAAAAATTTAGATTTCTCCATTAGCTTACCAGGTCTTTCTTCTCCCAACTTAAATGTGCTATAGTCCTCTTTAATATGAGAGAACTGGTTTACCTTTATTAAAATTGCTTACATATTAAACTATATTTTACAATTTATTAAATTATACAAGGGTTTAAAATAGGTTCGTTGCTTATTGAACAATTCTCCTACTTCAATGCAGTAAAAATCAGTTAGACATGTTTGTTCTTCATGCTGTACCATATTCCTGCTTTTGTTTTTCTGGAAGCACATTCTGACCTGCATTTATTCATTCTGTTGCCTAAGCAACAACCATCACACTCCTATTAAGTATGATGTAGTAGTACATGTCTTACTAGATGTTCAGAACAGGAAAGGGAATATCACAATGATATAATTAATGTCCATGGAAAAGCATACATCTGAGAACAAATAGATTCTATTTAGACAACTCTCAACAGCAAAATCCTACTAATTGAATTAACATTCTAGTTAAAAGGTGTTTTTCAGATACAAGGATTTCATGGTTATCATCCATTAGATCACAGAAATTAACTCCTTGTGTTTAGTCTCCCTTGGGTATTTAGGAAAGGTATAAACTTAACTGCTCTTAGGAAGATTTATTCATGTTGCTTAAAGTGTGTGGACTTTTTAGTAAGAAATAGCCTGTTTGCTTTGAACTTTGCAATATGAATATTTTTTCCATAATCTGTCAATATATATTTTTTAAAAATATGTTGAAAGATAGCATTAAAAATACTAGTTGTGCTTTCCTTAACTGCTATACTTCTATTTCTTGTGTACATTTGTGCAAATGAAATTCCTACCTGCTATTAATATAGTGCAGGAATAACACTTACATAACATTTAGAAGGCCCAGACAAATTCAGTCCCAAGACTTGGCTCACATATGCTTATAAGAATCAAATCATACTTAAATATATATATAATCTCCAGTCATTAGTAGCTTTTATAATTTGTCATGTAATGGATTACAATGTCCTTCATGTAAAAATTGGTAGCGACTGTTTTGTGCAGTGTTATATTGCAGTGTTACTCTATATTTGAAGATGCAGATGATACTGCAAATTTGACAGTGCAAAGGCTATTTTGCAGTTAAACTAATTCCCAAGCACCAGAGAACAATAGATCAGTTGTAAATTGTAATATATAGTCTAGTCTAGATATAAACACTGAGGAAACCTAATGAATCAATGAATATTTTTTTTGATGCATAGGTCCCGTGCATATCCCTTGTACAAGTTATAGACTTTATGCAGAGTTGTGGTCATATGTAACATAATCTGTTGAGGAAAAAAAAGTTGAATTGCAGAAAAATAGATGAAAATATGTGGGGTCATTACTTTGTATGTAGCTCTCTACAACTTTGGAGCTTCATCAAAGACTCCATACCAGATCCACAGAGAAAAAAGCAGTTCAATCAAATGACTGCCCACTGGGGACTAGTTCTGATTAAGGACTGCATATGACTCTCTATTTATAGGTTATTCTAATCATTTAAGATATTTTGAAATTGTATCATTTACTTAATATTGCAATATGATTAAGATAATCTCTGTTATAAACATTTGTAAAATGCTGTATGAGAGAAACAGGGACCAGGCAACCAAAAAGAGTTAAAAGAAAAATATGAAGCATTTAATCACATTTTTTTTACTTTCCAAGTTATTGTTCACTAGCAACAATTAATAACCTTAATGGACTCTAGACTCTTTATCTTTTCCCCTTGCTAACTATGAACTTACATACATGCAGCTGACCCCTTTAAGTGGTTAAATGGTTTGTGTTACCTGAGCATCTGAATATTGCCTAACTATTTTAAAAGTTCTCTCTCTTTCACTGTTGGGAAACTGAGGCAGGGAGTGACTGCAGACCAGAATTTAAAACTATATAATCACTTGAGACCAACGGGAGCTAGACTGTGAAGTAGCTGTCAAAGTAGCATTTAACAGATCAATTCAGATGCCAGAGTAGCATTTAACAGATCAATTCAGATGCCTAAAAATAGGCACCTAGTATCATTTGAGATACTGTAGGGAGTCTGGGAGATTCAGGCAGGTTTGTCAGATGTTACTGAGGACCAATGAGACACCCAGGCCCTTCTTAATTGGCAGCTGAAGGCCTGGTGGGATACCACAGGGCATCTCAGATGTCTCTAGAGTCTTGATGCTTACACAGCTGACATGAGTCCTAAATGTTGTTCTACATCACGCCGAACTTATCTGGGAAATGAATGTAGATCCCTTGAGTTTCCACTTAATATCTCAGTTGCACATACATTTCTTTTCCTTCTAATGATTTACTGCATTTATATTCACCCTGGGAACTTTACCTGCACGAGGACAGGCAGCTAGCTCTTTTCTTTTCTTTTTGCTTTCACCATGCTAGGCACGGACTACCTTCTCACTTCTTAACTGCCTCTTTTGAATTAAATTCTGAATTTCCCTCCCTCACTCCCTTCCTTCCCTCCTTCCATCTTTCCCTCTCTCCTTTCCTTCTTCCCTCCTTCCCTGAGTCTGGAGCTAAATTTATCTGAATTCTACCTTCTCTCAGGCTTCATTCCTGGGATTGCTGTCCTGGAATACCCAATAATTCTTCTTGTCTTTAATCTGTGTAGGATTTTAACTATGTATCAAGTGTAGAGAACAGACATGTCAGACAGACATAACTTTATTTCTTTAGAGAGAAACATACCTGAAAGAAATTCTGTCTGCATTGCCTCCAAGTCCTGTACTAGCAGAGATCATTATAGCTTTTATACACAAATACCTGGTGCAGAGATTGATGATTTGGGCATGAGAAGGAAGT